TTCCTTGCAGGCCTTCAGCAGCCGTATGTCATTTCAAACGATTTTGCAGCATTGTCTACCTGGTGGAGGCCTGACGTATTACTTGATAAATACGACGTGCGCTCGCGATACCGGACGGGTCCAGCTGCGAACAGACGGTCTTCCCTGAGAACCGTAATTCTCCTGTCCTGTTCATGATTTTCATAGCTAATCCGTTTGGCAGGGAAGCGTGCTATTGCGCATCACACTTCAGCCAGCATCAGACTCGCAGTACCCGTTTTCCCTCCAAGGCACGTCTGTATCCTTAGACAAGGAAGTCGATTCTGGACTCAACTCTTAGAGCCGGCCTCAGCAGCGTTAAGCCTGATCTGTCGTGGTATAAGTAAGGGTAGACTCTGGGGCCGCTTATAGACACGACGTTTCTCTAGGTTTCATCCAGACTTACACAACTGTCACTATATACATGTTAGAGGTCCGTTGTCCAAATTAGAATTGGCTCCGGTGTGAACGAACTAATCCTCATTGAATGAGGATTAAAGTTTAACGCAGACCGGGGCGGTCCAAATGAAGCAATGTAAACTGTATTAATTAATGTGTATATACAGCCTGGCTTTTAGGAAGAACCGGCCTTAGGAACTCAGATAAGCATTGCAAATTGGGTTTTTGCAACACAACAGAGGCTATCCCTCTGGCTCTCCTCTCCCCCCACCGCCCCACAGTCTTTCCAAAGTCAAATGTGCCAACCACACCTCACCCTGACTAAGCATCAGTATCCTGACTAAGCCCCCAGCTCTGCCTAAAGCTACTGGTCTGTGAAAAAGGGGCAAACCTCCTTGATTGTCTATTAACCCTGAATTCAAATTCAAATTGGATTCCAAAGGTGTAATGCACGTAAGTCAACAGGCTTTAGAAAATAGAGAGCACGCTGACAAACAGCCTGGGTTAGTCCTGTAAGTCATGTGGGAGTTTTGGGGCTGGAGATGATCCTAGCTGAGAGCCACTGGTCCGTGGATCCTGAAGTTGTGGGAGAGTGTGGGGGTGGATAGCAAAGCTAACTTTGTCACCCTCAGGAGCCATCCCCAGCTCTGCTATCAAGATCATCCCTGATAACAATGCACCTAGAGGGCACTTTTGATAAACAGCACTTTGAGGAGCATGAGTCCCATTTCCAAACGTTGCAGAGCCACCTGGGCGCCCCACTCCTGTTGACTTTCTGGGGAATGCAGGCCCTTTGTCAGGCAAGCACTTTGTGCAGTGCAGACTCTTGCACCTAATAAATTGGCTCTCCCCTCCCACTTTGGTCGACTTGTTTAGCAGTTCAGCTGCTAAGCGCCCGTCGTTTTATGGCCCTAGGCCCCTCTTGTAGGAGGGAGTGTCCATAACAAATGGGAGGTTGGCATGAACTGGTGTTGGGATGTGGCTTGCAGGAGGTTTTCCATTTGTTAGTCCCTGTCCCGACCAAAGCACGAGCAAAAATCCCATCCTTGCTTCACCTGCAGGCTCGTGTCGGGCAAGACGGCTCCTGTCCATTGACACTTTCAGTGCCTCGTGCCCCACGTGGAGGGGTGCACTTTCTCCGTGGAGTCTGGGGACCTTGCACCGGTGTCTTTGCAGCGCCAGGAGCACAAGCATGAGCTTTCAGTAGAAACAGGGCAACGTGCTGTTTTCCTTTTCTGAAGGCGACCCAGAAAAGCCGCCTCATTAAAATGTGCTTCCTCTAGCACCTATGAACTGTGAACCCTGCTGTCCACAGCAACCGTTCAACCCGAGAGGGGGACAGCCCGGGGATTTTTGCGTTTTGAGAATCCCGAGCACGTCGGAGAATCCCATCTGAAAAAAACCTTGAGGCTGGGCTGCTCGGATCCATTTTGCGAGCTCCAGAAAGCGCCGCTTGGATCACACTGTTGTTTATTGCTGTCGCTACCGCAGATTTCCAAATGAGCTGTTGGGACCCAAAAGGAACGGTTGTGCCGTTGCGAAACTTTTAATTGCTTTCTTTAGTTCATTTTGGCAAAGTGGCTTTTTCCAATGAAAAGCATTGTGTTTGCATGTCAGCTGCCCAACCAGCTCTCCCGTGGTGCTGCTCGTGATGCACCGGGGAATCCACCCATGGGAACTGGCCTCAGAAACGAAGTTACGGGGTCCCGTGGGTGGTGTGGGTTGCTGCGCTGCTTCCCTGTGCTGTGTGCTGCAAGGTTGGCAGAAACTTGCTTTCCAGTGATGCATTAACGCCCAGAGCCAGTCCCCATTTAAGCCGTGTGTGGAAACCTGGTGGACAGAAGGATGCTTTGTGGGTTCATACTCGGGAGCTTAGCCCAAATCCCTCAGTCTTTGCTCGGGGAGCGAGCGCCCCTGGGACGCGGGTTCTCTAGGCAGACAGCAGTTAGATGGCCTTATTCCATCAACATGACCGTGGATCCCAAAGTAGTTGCACGTCTGTGACTAGCTCCTCTCTGAGAAACCTGAAGGAGGCTGCCGGCGCAGGCCAGCAAAACCCGCTTCTGCCCTGGAGCCTGTGGTTCTGCGTCTCGCAAGGAAAAGCTGCATTGTGTTAGGCTTCCTCGCTCTCCGCTGCGTTTGTCATCCCTGGCTGTCCCAGGCGCTTTCTTCCCCCCGAATGAAGGTCCCTGTTGTTCAGCTTGAACTCAAGAGC